AGACAATTCGGTTTCAAAGCAAAAAGAAGAACCTCAGGTGAAACGGTGACAATGATTGAACTAATATGATCCGACTGCAAGATTTAAAACAAGTAATGAAAAGTAATTTTCTGAATCTAAAAAAATATGACAAAGAAGATCACGATTAATTAAATCAAAAAGGTCTTTTCATATGGCTTGAGTAACTTTCTGAATCTAAAAAAATATGACAAAGAAGATCGCGATTAATTAAATCAAAAAGGTCTTTTCATATGGCTTCAGAGGCCTCCTGTTTGATCTATAAGTTTCCGAAGAACTGATATTATCATAGAATGTAGTTTGCCCCTGGTCCATAATTTTTTTTGGTGAGAGCTATTGTAGCCAGAGAACCAATGTAAATAAAATCAAGGTGCCTTTTTTAAAACAACTGATCATACATAGGAACGCTAGTTTTTGAAAAAGCGCATAAAATCAAAAATGAATTAAAGTGTAATAAAGTCGACGCACTTTTTGAATCGACCGATGTCACCGACAAGAATGAATCTTTAGTTGTCCTAAAAAAATCAATCATTTATCGGGAATGTCAAAATGATCGTTTTTCGATGAAGTCATCTTGACTGGTTTTGCCTTTTTGTTCCGATGGAGGGGTCTCTTTAGCACTGCATGTGAGGGAAGTGAATTGTGAACCTCTGGATTGACGCTCATTGTCTCGAGGCTAGCTGCTATGAAATGGTTTTTACAGGATTGGTTTTAGTTCTTGCAGTTTTTTCTAACTGTTTTGCTTCACGGACCGAGATTGATCTCCTGGCTGTCCTCCTGTCTAATTGAAGGAAATAATGATTTCGCCCTAGATTATAAGAGTCATTAAATCCTTACAGGAACGCCTTTTTGCACAAGACCAGTGTGTGGTAGGTTATAAATCACGCATTTTACGGAAATGGTGTCTGTCCAAGATATTCAACGTTTTGCCTTAACGAGTGTTGCCGAACATTCAATCTGTTATATTGGTATTCAGAGTTGTAAAAATGCTGTGCGTGTAATCGAGCATCTTCTCGTTGTGATTTTTTGTCAAAATGTTGTTAATTATGGCTCCATCAACAAGTTGAAACTCATTATTCATACATCTAAAATGTTATTTACTACTAGCATTGTTTTTATGGCGTCTCAAATTAATTGAGGCAGCTGAATTGAAACTTATTTGAATTGTGATATAGTGATATGCACCAATCATCACTAATGTATATCCTAAAACAGTATTTACAGAAAGTGTACTTTTTACACAGACATCCATATTTTGAGGCGGCTGAGTCTTTAATCAAAATGAGTCTTATGTTAATTCTTTTTTGTATAAATCTACGTTATATAAAAACAAACCATTTATTCACTCTTCTTTTTCTGACAGCAGTTTAATACAAAACAAATACGAACAAAAGAAGCGTTTCCGAACAGCCAAAAGCACCGTATTCAAAAATGTAGTAGCGTCCCTGTCAGACCGTTTACAGGATCATGGATATGGATTGAACCACAAAATGAGAGGAAGAGAGCACACCTGGTGCGAGAGACTCCTGAAAGCATTATTCTGGCGGGAAAATAAACGTTTGAACTAGGAGAAGATCTTGATGGCAGAAAAATATCTCAAATTGTGGTCAGTGCTCAATCACCACTCGCAAAAGTGTGAGACATTACGGGATTAAAAAAAAACAGATGTAACTGGATATTACTGCGGGCCTTTTTTATAATGGACTGAACTTAATTAAGCTAGTTGTGATGGATCGTTGAAGCAGATGCTTTAAAATTCAAGTTCCATGTTAACTTAAAGGGAAAGTTGTCAAATGTCTTAATCTTTTGGCGGAAAAGTATTAGATTTCATAATAATTCCGTTGGCACTAATCAAGGTGTACCTTTCAGAAAAGCAGCGGCATAGGTTTTTGTAAGTATCTGGAACCGAGCATGTATTTTACCCTGAAGCAATTTTAGTTCTGGCCTCCTCGGAGGTTGTATTCAAACAAAAAGACAATTCGCAATAAAAACCAAGTATCATTAAAAGATATCTCTTAATATACTCACCACCGCAGTTGCGCCCTCCGCGTAGCGAACCTACTGCATACCTGAAACGTAAATGCATACGTAAAAAAATTATCCAACTACCGAACAAGTTATTTGCGGTGACTTCATTGTGAACTGTAATGGTTCTTCCAAAAATTAGATGGAATTCGCAAACGTTTTAAAGGAATATGATTTAAAGATAATCCACACATCAACTCCGGCGGGAGTAAGAACAAGATCGAAAAGCGTTATAGACTTGCTTTTTCAAACCAGGAAGGGTACACGAGTGTTATGAAAACAGCCATTATTGAACAATACACAGTAGCTTTCAACACCAAGCCCAAGACCAAAGAAATTTAACTAAACCATTTTAAATAGAGAAAATACAAAAAGAACTTGAAAACCCCTAATTTACCATGGATCTTGATAGAAAATTAGGAAAGGAGCTTAACCGAGAAATTTCTTCAATCGACTGGGACACTGCGTTCAAAAGGTTCAGAACAACTTATTATCTAAACTTGAAAAATTTTCTCCCTGAGAAAACGGCAAATAAATGAAACGATCTGAAAAAACTCCTTTTGATACCAAGTTAAAAGGAACGCACTAAGAAAATCTTGATCAACGAAAATCTTGGAAACGAAACTTGAATTCAATGGCACTGTTGACAATTGAAATGAAAGTAGTTGAAAAAAGTTTTTTTATAGAAACCAAAATATAGTACAGATTGCACGATTTGAACTATGTTTTCTTGAAAATACTAACACCTTCCAAACTCCCGACAGTTGCAGAGTTTTTTTTTTCAGTAAACATCGAGGATAAAAGTTTCTACAAGGTCTTAAGCTAGGAAAATTTGTTCCATTTTACATTTCCCAGACATGACTTTCACAGCTACAAAACTATGTCATTCCCAGCCATGAAAATTTAGCCCTATAAAAGTAATCTATAACAGAATATGAGCTTCCTGCAAAGTCAATGTTTTTTTCAGAATAGACAATTCGGTTTCAAAGCAAAAAGAAGAACCCCAGGTGAAACAGTGACAATGATTGAACTAATATGATCCGACTGCAAGAACAAGTAATGAAAAGTAACTTTCTGAATTAAGAAAAAATATGACAAGGAAGATCACGAATAATTAAATCAAAAAGGTCTTTTCTTCTGAGGCCTCCTGTTTGATCTATTAAAATTTTATCTTCTTCCTGAAATTTGTAAATCATTTAGATCCAGAACACAAAAAAAAAGACCATTTTGTATGCCTGTGATACTGCAATTTTAACTACCACTTTAGAGAATTTCATTCACAACCATGCAAAAAAGCAGACTTAAGCAAAACTTTGGGTTTCAAGTAAGTCAAACGGTTTATGACAACAAAAGTCAAACAAAGTAGCTAGGTATTATTTTTGAATCTGATCTCAGTTTGAACAATCATACAGAAAATTTAACACATTCTGTGGCACATTCTACCAATAGCACAAGATTTTGACATCATCACAAATGATACAAGTATATAAAAATTATGTTCAGCCTAATATGCAATACGGCGTAATAATTTATGACTCCACGAATATAACTAAAATCAAAAAATTTGATCAGACTAATAGAGGACTGAGCTGAATAATGTTTCACAAGTAAAAGAACTTGAGACTCTAAGCATTCAGTTGTGGGTTATTATTGCTACAGTGCTACTGATATACATATATGTATAAACTGTTTAAAACATTAAAACAGCTAGATCTCAAAACGCTGTCGATATTTTATAAAAAAATATTTCGTCTGAACATCTCTTAAAGATAGGCAAGAAAAGATCAACTGCCGGACGAAAAAGTACAACTACTCACAAAACACTAAAAATATAATATTTGTAAGACTAGAGCGATTTTCATGGTCTCACTCCGACATCAAATTAATATTCAAAAAAACTTGACTTAATACATCAACAAGAGAAGTAGTTTAAAAAACACTTTTTTTGGAGAACTTCATAATGGACAATCATAATATGACAAATCTTGTATTTACTGATGAGGCGAATCTCACTTTCACCTTTTTGGTTTTTGTGTTTTTGAAAAAAAAACCAAAAAACTTGGTTTCTTTCGTTTCAGGTTTTCAATCTCAAAAATTATTCTGCATATTAAGTTTATTTATTTCTTATATATATACATCCACAAATTTCTGAGCCTGATAACCGTTTTTTACAATTTTTATTGAAACAAATTTAAAACTTTGCTAGTTCTCGCTTTTCTTAAAATTAGCAAGGTTTCTTTTTCTACGCTTTGTCTTTTGTTGCGGTACCCTAGGTCTGTCACCATCAAACTTGAGTTTTTTGGACTGCACTCACTTAAAAAAAGGCAGTTCTGGACAATTTACTGAACGCTTTGCTACACAAACAGGTGCTTTCTCATTCGTTTTTTCCCTAATGTTGTGTAAATTGATGCTGAACACCTTTCCGTGAGTTTTTTTGTTGGTATTCAATATGATACGAGAGCAGAGTCTGGATATAAACTTCAGTGGGGGTCGGAAATTTTTTTCGTAAGTTTAGCTTTTCCGAAATTTATCAATTTAAAGATCATAAATTGGTAAACTTTTTTGGAAGTCTTAATTCATAACGTCCGCACATCAAATTCAAAAAGAAGTCTTTTTAGGGTGTACACGAAACGAAAAGAAAAATTACTGTTTTTTTATCATGGATTGATTTCTTACAATGATTTTGAACGACAGTTAGCAATCAGAAAAGCATATGCTATTTAATTTTGGAAATATCATAGTCAGTCACAGGAAAGCACTTTTAAAAAATCCAATTCAGGGGCTATTTCAGATCCATCATGCCTCTCTTTAATCAAGAATGCCCTGAAATGCCCTGAAATTGGCGAATTACACTTCGAATAAGCTGATTTTGCCTACTAAAGATTAGTGTTTCGTTTATTTTTGATTGGCTTGTTATTCAAAGCCAAATTTGTTTTTCTAATCATTAAAAGCGGTTAGAAAAACGTAGAACATACAGACAAGCACCGCCTTCTAGAAGCAGGTAAATAGTAGCGTCAATTCCGTTTGGGCCATCCTTTAGTGTTTGATATTTCCCATTTGGTCTACGAAAACGGGCAAAATTGGTCTGAAAAATAATACAAGAAAGCTAATTTGCCCACCGTTTTTTGTTTATTCAGCCGTCCCGATAAAGCCTTTTAAGCAGAATCATTAGAAGAAAAACTCCGCACGATCGTAAACAAAAAAAATGATACCATATTCGTACTATTGTTTTTTCGGCTTGATTAAATTAAAGTTCTTGGTTAATGTGTATCAAATCACAAATAAATTCGCCAAAAAACTTATGATAATCAGTCATCAGCTACTCCCATCCCAGTTTATCTCAACTGAATTTGAAAAAAGTTATTATTTCCGTAGCACTCTGAGCCATTTCTTTGTACCTTATATGGCGAGGTCTACTTGAGCACAAAGAATACTCATATTCAAAATCAAGTTCTGATCTTTTAGTCTGCATATAATTTTCGGTTCATAATTTGTCTTCCGTTTTCTTCTGAAGATTCTCACCTTGAAATAATTTAAATTAATTGTGACTTAAATTAATTATTCGTTGTTTTTCAAAGCTAACTTGCTTTTAAACTGTTGTTTAGCGCCTTGTCCTGTAATTAAACTTGCCTGAAACCAAAAACTGTCAAGAAGATTGGCAGCAACATGTTTGGGGAAATAGTGAAAATAATCCATGACGCGGAGAGCAGAAACTGTGACTTCGTGGATAGACTCAACCACAAGTACATGTCTCTCATTCTAGTTGTGCTGGGAGTTCTCGTCAGCACTAAGCAGGTGAGCCGAAACCATTATAGGTTAAAAAAATAGTTGCGAGGCGACAGAAAGTAGCCAAATAAATATCTTACAATTAATTATCGACACATTTAAGTGACCAAAAATTAGCCAAAAAATCTGCACAAAAAATATGGGACAAAAAATAATAACTAAAAAGCTATATGAAAAAATTTGTCACCTATTTAAGTGTCAGTTTTTCGAAATCTGAATAAAAAATAGCGAAATACTAAGACAGTGAGCTAATATCTACACCATTTGGTCGAGAAAGCCCAATAACCCAGATACGAGGCGTTCAGTTTCTCGCGGCAAAGCGACACTCGCCGCTCAGCTCAGGAAGTTTCGGAAATTTTATTTGGAAGAATTTGTTTCAAATTGTAGGAGCTAGCTAACAAGACTGCTCGTATCAGATCAAAGCCCTGATCGTGGCAGCTGCCTCTTACCCGGTTTACCATCCGTATAAAAAATGCCATAAAAAAGTACAAGTATTCGAAGGTCGGACTAGTATAGTTTTTGTTCCAACTTTTTCCTCAAACATATTCTCATTTTTATCGTGCCACTTTGACCGGAGTTATTTATATCAAGCCAGTGATGCCCTGATTTAAACTTACAAAAAAGTGTTTCACCTATGATAATTTTTTGTTAGGTTAAATGTGGTTGAATTTTGCCAGCTTCGCTAACTGAGATAAGAAACGCGCAAAATACTTCGTGCAAACAACGCGTAAGGGTAAATTTGATCCAATTCAAATTGTGGCGAGCCATTTATTTTCATTAATGCATTTTATTGTTCCGACTTTCGAAACGAAAGTATCGGAATATTTGTGCTCGGGGTGGGTGCTTTTTTCTTCAGACAAGTATCGACTTCTTAACTAGCCATTTTTGGCTAAATTTTAAAATAACATTCGAAAGCTATTGTTGTCCTGAGCTTAAATTTGAAAAGATATTTCATCTGTGATCATTTTTCGTGAAGTTTGCCATTTGAATGAAGTTTGCAAAAGTTTAAAGATTGCCAATTTGGGACAATTAACGCGTGATATATTTCACACTATTAACTCGTAAGCGGGGATTGAAATCCGTCTGAAAAATTGTTCGAAATTGGTTGAAGGAAACTTATTTGCCAAAATTGCTTTGTTACAAGAAGCGAAATCTATCACTTTGTACTTTATTTGGCGTGTGGGAGAATGATTTTCACAAAAAATTTCAAATTTATTTGAAAAAAATTGTTTCAATTTATTACATTTAATTTTTTCATGTTACTACTACTCCATAGACCTTAAATGGCAGTCGGTACATTCAGGGCACCGCCCTGATACGAGCAGTTTTGTTAGAACTTTAGTTCTGAGAGGAAAATAATACATATTGGGGCTAAAATTTTCAAAATGGTTTACGGAACTTCTGTGTACGAAAGCAACTTGTTAGCTGGTTCAACTCTCTCTTTTCACTCTCAGTTTGTTCAGCTCATTGAAGCTTGCCAATTTTTTTGCATTAGTTTGTCCAATATAAGATAACTGTTTTAAAAACCCAATTTTTGAAATCAGCATTTTTTGTATTGATTACCCTGGTCATGCTGCGCCAGATTGTAGTGTCCCGGAGAAATGTGTTGCGCATTGAATGACGCATCATATCAAAAAAAAGAGGGCTGTGATTTGACATGTTTAGGAAAAAATGAATTCTATCTGCTCTCCAATACTTATGAAGTATTTTTGATTTGTACGGTTTTTGATTTTTTCTAAATAACCTTCCACACGTGTTAAAAACAGATGGAGATACCAAATAGTTTGTCTAAACTTAATGACGAATGTTTTCCGAGCGAAATTAAAGTGACATCTACCATTATATGAACAAAATATACCGCATATTAATTATCCCTTAACTATGAGCTACAGCGTAAGCAAAACTTTTTAAAAAAATGAAATGTTTTAAAAAACACACGACTGCTCGTATCAGGGCGAAGCCCTGAATGTTCCGACTGTCTTTTAAGGTCCATGGAGCAGTAAAAAAATTAAGTGTAATAGAAAAGTGAAATTTTTTTGTTCCGATTTTCGTAATGAAAGAAACGGAAAGTTTGGGTTTGTGGTGGGTTTTTTCTTCAGACAATTTTTCACTTTTTAATTAGCCATTTTTGACGTTTGACGGAATTTTTTTTATCATTCAAAAGTTATTGTTATCTTGAGTTTAAATTTGAAAAGATTTTTCACCTGTGATCGTTTTTTGTGAAGTTATGGGTGTTTAAAAACGCGTAAGCGGAGATTTAATGCGTCTTAGAAATTGTCCCAATTTGGTTGAAAGAAGCTTATTTGCCATAAATGATTTGTTACTAGGAGCGAAATCTATCACTTTGAACTTGATATGGCGTGTGCGCGTTGGTTTTCACAAAAAATCTCAACTTAAAAAAAAGTTTATTTAATGACTTTTAATTTTTTCATGTGTTATAACTGCTCCATAGACCTTAAAAGGCAGTCGGAGCATTCAGGGCGTCGCCCTGATGCGAGCAGTCTTGTTACATTAAAATTTTTCTGCGTTATTACTGCTCCATAGACCTTAAAAGGCAGTCGGAACATTCAGGGCTTCGCACTGATACAAGCAGTCTTGTTTAAGTTTGTGATTTTTTGTGAAAATCATCCCCCAACACGTAATAATAAATTCAATTTAGATGAAGTTGGGGAATTTTTTTTCTAGGCTATGGTTTTGCTCTAGAAATGTTTTGACTCTCCAGAACAGTTTTTGAATGTTTTTCAATGCCTTAAGACGTAAAATGCCCTGAGTTAGAATTTGAAGAGTTTGAGTTTCAAGACGCTTATTACATACATCCTTTTTTGAAATAACGGTTGGAGTAAAGTAACAAAAATGTTTTCCCTAATGATTCAAGGAATCAAAGTGAGCAAATACTTTCATTGCGCATGCTAAGCGGCACGCAGGCAGGTCGCTACGCCCCCAAAAACATCGACATATCTGTTTACTGCTTGTTTTGTAAGATATATCTGGATGGAAATTATTTCAACGAATCGATCAGCTTTCTGGTGAATAAAGATTCTCATCGATGGATTACTTTATTATGGCAAAAATCCATTAACTTTTGTTCATCAACTTGACATTGAGAAGACAACAAAGACAAGAAAAGTCAGATGCTTTTTGCTTGAGGTTAAACTGTCAAAACAAAATTAAAGTGAATGTCAAATGGCAGAAGATTTTTATATGTTGACATGTTCCTTGTTGTTGCTAGGAAACATCAATATTTTTCTATAAGTTTTTTTCAAAAAGCAATTAGAATGTAAACAAGAAAATAGGACTTAAAATCATTTTTTTACGAAAAAAAAACAGTGCTCACTGCAAAATAATAATTGCGATATTCGGCTCAACGTGTAGGCAAACTTTTACCAGAATTCTAGCGTCAATAGTTTAACCAGCAATAAAAATCAAGTAAAAAAAATTACAGAAATGTTCTGAAGAGGGTGTTTTAAGCTCTCAAAGTTTTTCCAGCTCTCCGAGACGACGATATCTTTTCAACTGACTCGTTTTTAAAGCACGTTGAGGTAAAATTGTTATACTTGTCTTTTTCTGTAGTTGAAAGAAGTTTTGACATTACATAAAATAATGATTCAATTTTCTTCGTGCGGTGGCGAGGTTTAGAGCTCGTGGCGCGTTAAGATCTGTAGATTTGACTGAGGGTTGGACAACAGTTTGAGCGCAAAAAGCAAAAAAATATATGTAGAACGAATATTAGATCTTGATCAATCGAGAACAGGATATCGCCTCTCTGCATAGAATCACAAAACATTGAATATTGTCAATTCTAGTACGTGGGGGACCCCATCGACTGCTGGACTCCCCCCAACTTCCCCGCCCAATGGGTACAGTACACAGACACTTACTGCTGGGTGTCTAACACGTACCACCTGCCAATAGGCATCCCCGCCTCCCTCACCAAACGGGTGACTCATGGCTACGAGATCAAATACTACCAGTGGGTTCCCATCATGCTTGTCGGTCAGTCATTAAGAGTCACTTACATCACATATTGACTCGCAGTGTTTTTTTAGGTTAAAGCGAACAGGCTTGTGAGTTAGTGTGGGGATGTTTTGTTTTTAATTATGCTGCTGACTTGCTGACTTGCTTAGGATAAAAGCTAAATTTTTTGGAGACATTTATTGTTCATACGTTTTTACCTTTCTTCCACGGATTTGATCATTAAATTGAAATTCATGTAGAAAAAAGTGATTTCAAAGCTAATGGTATATATGCGGTGAAAATAACCCAAGATCAGGGGCGGATTTAGGGGGGGGGGGGGACGCTTCCCCCTTCAGGGATTCGACCTTTGAACTATTTTGAGATATCCATTTTTGGTGACAGACCACAAAAATTTTTTAAAGGAGCCTTGGGCGCCAATATATACTTATTTTGAGGGGGGAGCAATTTTTTGGTCAAAATTTTCAAAAAGTGGCTAAAAACACCTTTTTTGGCCTGTTTTTTTTTAAACTTTTTTTGAAAAATTGCCCCCCCCCCCTCCCACCTCGAGAAAATCCTAGATCCGCCCCTGCTCAAGATGCTAATTATCTGTTGTTTTTTTGTTTGTTTGTTTTTTTTTGTTGCGACTAATAACTGCTATTGCCATCCTTAAAAAAAGACTCTTGTTGTTGTCAAAAATCATTGAAGTTTATTCTATGGTTGGAATTAACCCTCTTTCCCCTAAATGGACCAAGGAGAGATAAGGATATGAAATTAGTCCATCTGTTGTGTTTGCAGCCCAGGCGCTGATGTTTTTCGCACCCAGTCTAATCTGGCGCGCAGTGAGTAGCCAGAATCTGGACATGGGCAACATAGTGGAGGCGACTACCCTCTCGGATGCCGCAATCAGACCGAGTGAGCGGGACGAAGTGGTGAAGAACATCGCACTGCAGATGGACAGATTCCTCAAAAACAGAAGGTCAATAAATTAGAGATCCCTTCTAATTATTATGTAGTTTTAGGGTACAGACACATAGTTTGGGGTGTAGACAGTATACACAGAAAAAACCGACTGCATGAGTTAGAATATCGACAGAAGTAATTTCATTTTCTCATTTAAATTTGTTTTGTTACCTTTTATTGCTTAAAACGGGGGCGTTCAACAGTGCCGAAGTACAACAGTGCCGAAACTGAAAATTAGTTCAACAGTGCCGAAAAGTGAGGATACGTGAAAATTTGGAGTTCTGTTTGCTAGTTGTTGGCATTTGCTTGAATACGTGTTTTGTTTTGTAGTGAAACCGAGAGGAAATTTCGAGTAATTGCTGAGTTAATTGTTAAGAAAAAATTATGACGCATCAGCGCTTAAAAACTTTTGGGGAGGGTTCTCATGCTTGAGGGACCGAATGCTTGAAAAATTTCAACCAATCAAAATTGCTAAGCGTTCCTATTGGCTAAATGCCTTTCTCACAAAATCGAAGTCAATATTAACAGAAAATTTATTAAATCAGTGGAAAATAATCAAAAATATTACAAATTGCGGTTTACAACCGCAATACTATTCAGATAAATATCAAGACTTATGAGTTCAAGTTCATAAGAATTTTTAAGTCTTGAAAACTCATCTGCTTATTATCTAATCGGTCAATATTAACACTAATGGCTTGGATTTATTTTCTTACTTTGAGATTTTCGCGATTTACTTTGAGACTTTGAATACTCACTTCTGATCGGCTGGCGTCAGTTACCTTAATCCTACTCGTTTTTCACCGTCTCGACCTTGCCAGTTGATTTTTTGGTCTGTTTAGGGCTAAGTAAAAAGTTACTATTTTTAGGCCATCAGTCAAACGACTTTTGATCAGCTTTCGTTTACATGCGAACACAACCACATAGCTGAGTCTCGGATCCTCAGACTACGTGATTGCCATTAAAAACACGGCTCGAATAACCAATTTTAATATGTTTTTGTGTGACAGTTCTATATTAAATCCATTGGAGATGGATTGACCCTTTCCTCTTTCTAGCTACTCATATTCTAAAACATCAAATTATACCGGTGTTAATTCAGACTTCTACGACATCCAAGTAGCTACAAAGTCAGTTTTATATAGTCCCTTCACATAAAACAGTCTCTGGTGGACCAAGCCTCCGCTCCCGTAATCTTCCTGAGATAACGTTCTTATCTCTTCCAATTTGTGGCACGGGAGGGTTCCGTGGAATATTCCTTCCCCACTGAAGCTTCCTTCTCCACTAATATCCACTGCTAAGAGTCTTATCATGTGTTGTTGCCACGATAAGAGGCTTCGTATTTCTCGTCTCTTGTGCGACCGTTTTCCACAATATTTGTCGTTGTTCTGTTTTTTTTTGTCCTTTTTCATCAAAATGGCCGTCTTTTTTGTATTTCTCAGAAATATTCACTCTCTAATCGAAATTTAAAAAATAAAAATTCTAGAATTTTCCTACCCTCCTTCGCAATACTTTTTAGTTCCTAAGGCCTTTATTCGTTTTTTCTCGTGTCGCCGGAAGGTTGCGCTGTGTCAATCTGGCAGAATGGCACATACTCCCCGGACAAGTCCCCATCAATGTCCCTATTGATCGCATAACACCGGGTTATCGTCAAGTAGTGTTCCAGTTCTCTGTAATCAATCTTACAAATCGCATAAGAAAATGAAATTTTTCTACTCCACCTCAACTCATTACGTGTTCACAAATGGCATCGCACTACATCTCACTGCCTTTCAATATTTTCACAAAATTTGCACCATGAGGAGTGTCCTAGATAAAATTTCATTTCTGACTACTTACGTCGTCTTGCCATAAAACTTCTTTTCGCTCTTTGTGATTAAAAAGTGGGAGGTGGCACGGCCACGCACCCGTTAAAATTAACTTAACATCACTCACCAAGTATAATCAGTTATTTTTGCGGTCCTTTCAAAATTAAAACTAAGAAACTCTGTAGCTAGGAAAGTTATTGAGTTACCCACCCTTCTCGAGCGAGTTTACTTAAACTTACCATGTCGCCACACAGTGAAATTGTGTCTTACACAGGTTAAAAACTTCAGTCATGTTTAAATAGTAAATATACTCACTTATGTTCTATATATATACATAAGTAGTAAAACGTCTTCACTTGTTCTCTTCGTTCATCATCTTCACTCCATTGATTCTCCATCCTGATCTTCAGCTTCGCTGTCTTCTAGGACTTTCTCCAGCATGTCCATGGAGTTGCGGGCCGTGCCCCAATTCTCCTGTTCCAACAGCCTCGGTTTGCAACAAGGTAGCAAGTCCACATTCACCTTTTGCTCCCGGTTCTTGCAAAAGCTGTTGTGAAGACATAGGCTCACATTTCTTTCTAGGTCAGCTCTTAAGACCTCTTTCTTCTCATCTTCAGTTACACAAGGCGCTCCAGCTACCCGCTTCACCGCCGTGGTGACCGCGTTTCTGTGCGTCAGGAATGCTCTCTTATAGGCTCCCGGTCCTATATCTAGCTGGAAAGATCGATAGGCTTCCGTGTTCCTCGACATGTGACGCTTCGCGCGTTCATACATCCATGATGTCATCACTGCACGGAACCAAGGCATCAATCTTTGCCTTGACCATATTCTTTCAATGGCTTTGGGTATTCTCAGAACCTCGCAGGTGGTTCTGAAAAGATCCAATTCACGACTCATCTTCACGTTGCTCAGCTGCTCAGGAGTCGGCACGGCCGTCTCCTGTTCACTTGTGTCCGCGTTAGCCTCCAACCATCTCACTGCCGGCATGGCACTAACCACCACGATTGACACCTGTTGATTCTGATCGGGCAACCCCGTAGAGTACAACTCCTCCACGTCCCATACTAGCATCAGATTCCCGCGTTTGGGGTACCACAACGTCTGTGCCAAGCAGTGGCAAGGATACTCCCCATGGGTTCTCACAATGTTCCTTCGGGTCCGATACCTTGAGGTTCCCAGAAACGGTTCCACCTCCATCATAATTCTGTAAAAATTGTCTTTCTCTTCTATGGTGGGGAATTCAGTGGGTAACGCTCCACTCGTTTTCTGCTTCTGGAATTCACTCACATTACCCTCGTTCAATCTCAGGAACTCTTCACCCACTACGTCTTGCAATTCGCCTTCAGATCTCTTCGGGACTGCCCGAAAGATCTTCGCCAACAAATCATATGACCTCCGACATTCTGGCCAACCTCACGCACTTTGGAACAGAGAAAAGTTGGTCAAGCAACACCTGCTGCGTCCTCGCATCCATCACCACCATGAGCGTAGGATACCTACTACTGCAATATGGTGCGGAGCTTGAACCCACCAGATATTTTGAACCAGTAGGTTTATGATAGGCTTCACTATCTTTCAGATTCATTTCGTTCTCCAGATCTTCTCGCCAGCCTCCGATCTTCTGCTCTGTCTGCAATGCTCCAGGGAACACTTCCACGATGAGGAACGTCACTAGCTCATGGGCACGCTCCAGGCGCTCAAGCGATTCTATCGAACTCGTCATGCTACAAAATCCCAAGGCTGTGGTCAAGTTTACATCCGTCACCCCATGACAGTCCGCGACCAACTCCATGCCACTCTTATCCGACATGCTCAATCTTCCGTACAATCGTGCCAGTTGTCGATGCTGCTCGCTCAGCGTAATCAGGCAGTGCCCCAAGTAACAAACATGTCCTTCCATCCCACTATGTTGAGCCAAGCATGTGCCTTGCTTCAACCAATTGCTCGATGGACCTTCCTCGGACAGCTCCGCGGATGGGTTGCTCTTCCGCTTCGTCAACCTCATGGCCAGCAGATGGTGTATGATGGCCAGATCATGTAGACTCGCGTCATCATCCAGGTTAACGTGATATCCGCCGTCATGTCCCAGATTAAACCGGCGTTAGGATGAGGACACCAAGAAGGCTTCATGAGTTCCCACATCGTTACTAGACTGGTTTTCAAGGGACCGTCCCAAGAACCACAATCAAAACTCACTTGCCCCTTTAGCTCGTGAACCGAGGGTTCGACCACTCGTTCTTCCAAGATAATTCCCAGCTTGGGTTGTTCCACCATCAGCATTCCAGTTTCCTTAATCCGTTCAACCCAGAAATTGAGTACTATGACTTGCTCATAGTCGAAGTACGCTTCCGTGGTTTCTTCATTCACGAAGGGATTATACGCCATCCCCGGTATGCCAGACACATATTGGAACGACTTCAGTTTCCCTAGTGTTGCAAAGTCTTTTTGTCCCTTGACTGCTTCAATCAACTCCCGGCTCACTTTCAATTCTTTGTTGGAAAATCTTCTCACTTCTTCCAACTTGCGATAGCTCTTCATGTCATTCGACTCCTTATTTGGTACAGTCAACGGCATATCCTGATACAGTTCCAGGAGTGCCCTAAGGAAGTTCCTTTCGCTATCAACTCCCTTTTGCCGAATGATCTTTATACATTCTCCCGAAACAGGAGTGGGGATACGATCCACCACGAACCTGACAAAGCAAAGGGCATCCTTATGCTTAGCCCATGCTATCGCAGAATCGTCTTTTGAAATCAACGCTCGCAGAGCTTCCATCAACTCCAGCTCCTGTTCCCGTGATTTCGAATCATTACTGGCTTCATATTCCGCCCTCTTGATGCCCATCAAGCACCAAGCCAACCGTACTTGCAGGTCAGTTCTCGTGCACGGATGAGCCAGGTACGCTGCCACCGTCGCAGGTGCATGCATCGTCTCGTCGAAGTATCTCTGGAGGGCCGCCCTCCAAGAAATTTCTAGTAGTTTTTCCAATCCGATTTCGTTCGCTTCAGAGGACATTACCGTACCGTATTCTTTCCGATTTAAGTTTGAATTCTCCGTAAGCTCTTTCAGATATTCCTGCATGGCTCGCTTCTCGCTCCAAGCCATTAGGTGCCCTCTCGCGGAGTTTCTCGCTTTCAACATCTCCACATAACCCCCTGCTGGATCTCCCATGTGGATCGATTCCGGCACAGTGACTCGACTGTACTCGACCACGTCGAGTT